CCCGTCCAGAAGACCTATACAATTTTTTTTCTTTTTGATTTTTTACCTGGATTACTGAGATGCATCAGGACAAGGAGTGGAGGTATTAAAAGTGAATGAGCCAAAGCAACAGGCGATATAGAAGAGTTGAAGCAGAGTGCAGGCTTTGGACCTGCTGTGATGGTGAAAAACAAACAGGAGGAGGACCTGGAAGAGAAGATGTTTATATGTTATTGGGACGGACCAAACTGGACAGGAAGCTGGTGACCCCCTGAAGGAGAAAACRACGTTAAATCCTTTCGTTTATGTGTGCACAGAATCACAGACGAGCGCAGCATATGCCTGGGTGGAAATGAACCAGCGGAGATGTTTCTGCACAATCAGAAGTGTTGCTGCTGTACAGTAGAAGTGGGGGCTGCTGTGTGTGGGAGGTGTAAGCAGAGGACAGATGAGTGGGCCCGTCCTGTGAGCGCTGAATCAGCCTGCTATTAACATTTACACGTGGGAGCTGTGGCAGACGAGGTCGGCGAATCAAAGCCGCCAGCATCTACCTGAGGAGTGCGCAGGAGAACAGGAAAATGCAGCTTTTGATCGCTCAAAAACGCCTCGTACTTCAAATCAACATCCTCATAAGGAGGAGGGAAAATAAGAAGAAGAAAAAAAAAACATTCCAAAAAGGGAAACTTGTGCTGTCACACCAGCGTGAGCGTCAAGTGCCAAGTTTCCTGTTGTGGGAAAGTCCTTTCCTTCCCTCTTCAAAGTCTCAGCCGTCCCGAGTTCAGCTTTTTTTTTAAACGTCTTAGTCACGTCTGTGGAAGTACAGTGTATTTAACAAAACTCTCAGTGCATTTTAATGAACCCAAACTGTGAAAAATCTCCAAATTACAGCCGTCGACTTGCCACTTCTTGTTCCTCCGCTCACAATGAACACGGAGGCACGATGTTCTGAGGAATCAGAACGTGTTAAAAACAAGAGACTTMTTTAGCCTGCCAGGGGCAGGGAGCATTCCATCCACTCCGTGTCAAACGAACACAGCTCTTTGAAGGCTGTTTGAGGAGGGCTTTTGTTAAAAAACACCATTGTCTGACTGCGTGCTGCCACGGTAACGCTCTCACACTGGCAGCAGGACAAGAACGCTGCAGTCAGAGATGACAAAATGCCTTGCCAGAAAATGTGAGAGAATAAAATCCTGATTTGCTTCTTCTTCATTACCTTGACTTCACGCAGGGAACTAATTTGTCAAACTTCTCACTCGTCAGTGCTTCTGGWCTTTGCCAAACGCTTTCAGAAATAAGAGTCAAGCTATTTACAACCTGCATGTAACTGGAGTTTAATGTGCTCCTAATATGCCTTCCAGGGGTTAGGCCTTTCAGGATGGTAAAACACACAACCTTTTTTCAGGCGGATTCTTTGCATGAGCGTTGCATTTGTCCGTGTTTATTACAAAGTGTCTCATCTGTATACTTTCTACATGCCAAGCATGAAACTGTTCATTTGTACACACGGCCACCAACGATAAAAACTGTATGTTATGACAAAAATCTAAAGGATCTAGAGTCTAAATAATATTCGAGYGCATGTTTGTATTAGTTGCATGGATTGCTGAGTATGAAGTTCAGACAGAGGGAGGGTTCTGTGCTCTGGGGATAAACCAAAAAAGGCCAGTCGTGGAATCAATGTTTCCATTTCTGTCAACGCCAAAAAAAGAAAGAAAAAAATGTTTTGATGTCTCTGCACACTTGTCTGTGTTTCTCATGTGTGCCATGTCAGTGTTTGTGTTTCTACAGTATTCCCATAAAGATCATGAACATAAGATGTAAAATTAGTTAGTTTTTACTGCAAACAACTGAGTAATTTGTATTAAAATGAGCACAAAAGAAAATTTATTCATTCATTTATTCATTTTAATACTAAAAGTAAAAGCAGTCACCTTCTTATGATGGAAAAAAAGATGGCGTTGAAGACGTTTTGGTCAAACGTTGAAGATAATGCAAACTCTCACGTCATTTATGCCWGTGAATCCCAACCAAGCATATTACAGGGGGTACATGGAAAAATTYCCCAGGTGTGTAAATAAATAGATAAATATAGGACTGAGGTATGTAGGRTCCTATGATTTCTGCAATGCAGAATGCAAACAATCATCAAATTCACACAAAATGGAATCCTGTATAAAACGCAAAATCTCACGAAATTTGCTCATTTGGGGGGTTTGATGTATTTTTGGACGCTGCTGCTTCCTGCACCTGCCATTACCTGGTTTATTTATTTAATTAAAAGGGGTGCAACAATACATGTACAYGTATCAAACCGTTCAATACACACTTGTATCGAACAATACAGATATTTTAAATTTATTTTATCAGCTTGTCTTCTGAAGATGCTCTGTGTTGAAGGATCAGTGGATTTGTGTTCGACTACATCTAGGCTGTATTTTCGAGCGCAGATCCACTGAGAAACTTGCTGTTTCAGCAACATTTCATTTAAAAACTGTACTTTTGAGGTTAAACAAATGTTCATAATTAATTTCAATAAATTACAAGTTAAGAAGGGCATGGACATTTCTCTGTTTTGTATCGAAAAAATATCGAACCGTGAGACTGAAGTATTGAACCGAACCGAATCGTGAATTTTCTGTATCGTTGCACCCCTAATAATTACTCATTCACTTTCAAGGCAACGTATTTATCTTTGTTTAAATTGAGTTGAAAAGAATAAAATGTCTGAGAATTAAACATTCTCTTAAATAAATAATTTTCATTTAATAATCAGTTGTTGGATATTATAGTTTTGGAGAACCATCATAACGTTTGACTGAGGGGGTACTAGCGTTATGAGAAAATGGCTAAAAACAAGTCTAAAAAGGTTGGGAACCAGCGATTTATGCAGTTAACTTTATTCAACCAGGCTGATCCCATTAGATCTCTTTTGCAAGGGAGTCCTGAGCCCAAAGCCAACCTAACATGCATGTTTTTGTCTGTGGGAGGAAACCAGAGCATCCAGAGAAAACCCACACAAGCACTAAAACATGCAAACTCCACACAAAGACCCCAGGGTTGAACTGGGAATCGAACCCAAGACCTACTGCTGTGAGGCATCAGCGTGAACCACTGATCCATTGTGCTGCCACGCTCACAGTAACTGTAACAGTATGTTGGGAATGATTCTCAGCAACCACCACAACAAGCTTTAGCTCAGTATCTGTCAAACTGAAGCAAATATGAATTAACCGTAGYATCCGTCTCAAATTAAACTGAGTTCTGGTGTTAAAATCCAAATAAAACATGCACTCAAGGACAAAAACATTACTGTTCATCTTTGCCTTTCAGTCCCACTCTTACAGCAAAAAGAAGTKTAGTTTAAAAGGAGGAGTTCTTTTTTCATAAAGGTCATAAATAGAAGAACAAAGTCACCATCCAAGATTCTTGGAAATCTTCCTGAAGCTGTCATGCTTGTGATCCAGGGTGGAGCGCTGCGCTTCCTGCAAGGCTAAAAATTATTTTTCCTTCTCATCCACTAAATTTGTTATGTATCCCTATCAGCTGTCTCACTTACACCATGAACTACGGAAACAAGTAGCCGAAGACACTTTACGATCTTGTTTTATCTTCCTTCAGCTCTGGGACCATCTGCTTCTGTTTTKGTAAAGCTGGACATTTTAGAAAATGGTTTGAGGAGTCAGATTTTATTTGCATCACTTATTATTAAAACACATCCAAACAGATTACAGTCACACTGAACCGTAAAGTGATGGTAATTTGAGTTAAATGRTGAAAAAAGGTGTTTGATTTTGACAGGAATTTTAGACTTTGGATTTTTTTTTTACTGACATTGTCTCTGTGTTTACATTTTAAAATGTCAGACAGTATTGAGTCTGGCTTTGTGTAGAAATTGGATGAGCTCACATTAGGTGGGAATGTTTGGCAGAGCAGTTAGTGACTGAACTGCTGACATAAGCTTTGCTCATCCACAAAGTGCCAACTTGCCATTCTCTTTTCCTTGTGACAAAGCATTTTGTTGGCCTGTTTCCTCTCTTTCAGATAGCAACCACCACRCTGTTTACATATCGAATAAAAGTATTGGCTATCAGTCACCAACAGGCTCTATCTGCAGGCCAAAATTAGCTGAATTATTTCCTGTTTTTTAAGTGTCTTTTCAGATATTTTTACTAATAAAAGTATCAACATTGTTTTGTTCTGCAGGTCTGGTAAACATGTCAGGAAAATCAGATGTGAAAAACAAGTGGGCGGCAGTCAGGGACCGCCTGGGCTCCTCGCAGGACTCCGACACCCAGCAGGAGGCCAACCTGGAGAGCGCCGACCCAGAGCTGTGCATCCGGCTTCTGCAGGTCCCCACTGTGGTCAACTACTCCGGGCTGAAGCGCCGCCTGGAGGGCAGCGACCAGACATGGATGGTCCAGTTCCTGGAGCTGAGCGGGCTGGATCTCCTCCTGGAGGCCCTGGACCGACTCTCGGGCCGGGGATGCTCTCGCATCGCAGACGCCTTGCTGCAGCTCACGTGCGTCAGCTGCGTCCGCGCCGTCATGAACTCATCGGCGGGAATCCACTTCATCATAGAGAACGAGGGATACATTCGCAAACTGTCACAAGGTCAGCTAAGTTTATTTTTGTGTTTTGTTTTTTTACACATTTTAAACGTCAATTAAGTTGGGACACTGCAAAATCATTTCAAAACCAAATTACAATAAACCGTTATTTTATTCACATTAGAACAAAGAAAACATATCAAGTGCTGAAAATAAGACATTTTAATTTGTTTTAGAAAAATAAGGTAATTCTGACTTGTCAGCAAAACATCTCAAAAACGTTGGGACAGAGTCGTATGGTCTCACGATTCGATTCACTTCTTACTTTAGGTTCACGATTAGATTCAAAACAGATTTTTGACTCAAAATGATTTGATTCATGAGGATTTCAGCTTTAATCGACTGGCGTTCATATTTTATGATTTACACCAGTCCATGAAGCTCATGTCAAGTTCCATCTTCCAAGACATTCTGTCAAAACTAAAAGGAGTTAAAATCTTTGTGTCAATGGAAACGGTTGAATCTCTTTCCTCAATTTTTGTAGTTTTCTCTTTGTTTTGGTGCTTTCCACACATGTTCCAGAACCASCTGCATGGTGATGTTGAAACATCTCAGTTACAAAATGTAGACCATGAGCCAGCAGATTTGCTTTATTTAATTATCAATTTTGAGGCATTTTTTATCGATTCTGAATCATAAACAAGAATCATGATTCTTGTGTGAATCGATTTTTCGGCGCACCCCTAAGAACCGTACACATCACTGTGAAGCATCCTCTCTTCTTTTAACACGACTGAAAACATCGAGGTGCTGAGGAAACCAGTTTCTGGAGGTTTTGGAGGAGAATGTTGAATCATTCTTGTCTGATGCATAATTCTAACCATTTACCGTCCTTGGTCAATTTTGCTGAGTGCAGTTCTAAAACCTGCATATGTTTTATTAACCGTTATTTAATCAGGCAAGTCCTGTTGAGATCACAGATCTCTTTTTCAAGGGAGGCCTGAAGGCAACTTATTGTACAGGTTCTCCGGGTACTRCCGTTTCCCCACCCCCAAAAACCTGTACAACCTATTGTACAGGTTTTTGKGGGTGGGGAAACGGTAGTACCCGGAGAAAACCCACACAAGCACGAGGAGAACATGCAAACTCCGCACAGAAAGACCGAACCGGGGATCGAACCCAGGACCTTCTTGCTGTGAGGAGTCGGGGGTAACCACTGAACCGTTGTGCTGCCTTATATATTGTTCCAAGTTTGTAAGCTGCTGCCCATATCCAAGGCGCTACAGCACCTCCAYGCCACTAGAGAGGCAGACTTTTGAACTGAGCAAACAAACCCTCTCTTCTTTAGACAAAACATGTGCTCATGGTCTCCCCACCACCACAAAACTGTCAAATTTTGATTTGATTGACCACAGAACAGTTTTCCATTTTGCCTCAGTCCGTTTTAAATAAGCTTTGTTCCAAAGAAAACAGCAATGATTTTGGATGGTGTTTGCATGATAGAGCTTTGATTAGCTTTTGTAGAAGGCACGGCAATCTGTKTTTACATAAAGTGAATTGTGGAAGGTTTCCTGAGGCCATGCAGTGATGTTTACACTTAGATTAGACTCCTGAGTGCTCAAAAATTGCCAGAAACTTCAAAATCGCCTTATTTATCGAGAAGTAGTTAAATTTCTTAAGTGCAACTTTTAAAATGTTTACTATATTTTGTTGTGAGGGGCTGCAGTAACTCGATGGACAGTTTTGTGGTCTTAAAATCCAGAAACTGCAAGTTCAAACCCAGAGCAGTGACCCCTTCAGAAGAGAGCAGCTGGAAATAACTGTTCATGAGATTTGCAAATTATCACATTCTATTGTTATTAAAATTTTACACAACAACCCATCTTTTTAGGATTTTTAGTTGTAGTTAAATAAACATGTTTTACTTTAAATAAACATAATTTATGTTTAAGAACAGGAAGGACCTCTAATTTTTTTATATTACATAAAGTTTTTTGAGTCTTTCACGTGATTTTATGACTCATTCTGCTGAGCTGATTTTTCCTGCCGTGCTCRGCTGCATGGAAACATGAATCAGAAAAAGGTCTGCTTCAGGAAATTGCTGTMAGTGGTGAATATTGGATTTTCTTATCCTCGAGCATGTATGTACACACACACAGATGTATCTTTCTCAGGATGCCACACAGGCAATCAGAGCAACACGAGCCAAAGATCAATTTGACAGCGAGACAAAGCATCTTGTTTGTGTTCAGACACAAAGCGGGTCGAGGATGGGAAATGTGAGCCGTTTTCCTCGTGCTCACGTCTCCCGTGATGTTCCACAGCTTTGGACACGTCCAACATCATGGTGAAGAAGCAGGTGTTCGAGCTCCTCGCGGCCCTCAGCATATTCTCAGCCGAAGGTCACTGTCTGGCTCTGGACGCTCTGGATCATTACAAGGCAAGCAGAGACACAAATACGACACAAACGTTATTTATCACAAACTGCTTTACAACTCCCCCTAAACCGTCTTGGATGTGCTTTAGGGGTCGGTTGCACAAATGTTCTTACCTTCTCTGATTCCCCCCTCCGGCAGGGCCTGAAGGCGCGTCAGTATCGTTTCAGCGTGATCATGAGCGAGCTGCAGGCCACAGATAACGTCCCCTACATGGTCACACTCCTCAGTGTCATCAACGCGCTCATCTTCAGCACAGACGACTTGAGGCAGAGAGATAAAATAAGGAAGGAGTTTATCGGTAAGTCCCTCTCCCCGATGGAGCGAGGTGATGTTGATATAAACTAGATACCGCATAGCGGTAACATAATGACCCCCGCACGCACAAATGCACCAGAACTCAGAAGTCCTTATTCCTAATAAATGTCATGCTACTAGGTGCATCCCAAAATTGTAGTGGTTTGGGTGGAGGTCTTTTTTTATTTATTTTTTTTGGGGTGGGGTTGGTTGGCCTGATGGATAGCCCATCATCAGAGCTAAACAACGAAAGAAATCTGAAGCTCCTATGTTTAATAGTTTGAGTTTTAAGCATTTTTGCATATCCAGACACCCCGTCTTTAAAAGGAGCCCCCTCCTCAAATATGGGGTGTATTGTAAAGCCGTTGGCTGGCGCAGTGTAGGTCAGACTCATCTACATCCCTGCCAAATTTCATGTTGATTGGTGCAGCCGTTTTTGTGCTACTGTTGAACAAAAATCACTGGAAAAAAAAAAACAATATGACTCCTGCTTACGCTTCATGTGCGGGGTTCATAATAAATAAATTCAATGCTAAGCAGGGGGAAAGGTAAAAATCGGGCCGTCATCAGGAGCTCAGCTACACATTTCTCTGTCACTGGGTCTTGGCTAAGAATAGGATGAATGGCCCCATTCTCACTTAGACAAAACGCCTGAGAACAGGCGTGGAAATCATTGTGTTTTCGAGAGTTTAGCACCACAGCTAATTGGGTGTTATGACTTTGAGTGAAAGGAACACGTYGGCCCCCTCAGACTGAAAAAACTCAAGCTGAAAAGAGGGCATTTTAAGCATTTCTTTAATACAATACTGTCTGAATGAAAGCTTGTAGTCACATTAAACTTCATAACATAAAGCACTGAGCTACAAACCTACCTGAGGAGCAGCTTTTGGAAAAAGGCTTTGCTAACATATCCCAGCTGCAGCTGCAGGACAAGTTCAATTCCCATCACCTGAAAGCAATCAGCCATATGATTAGCCCCGCCTCCTTTGTGATTACACACCTGTAGCTTCATGATGTTGACTACAAACTAACAAGTTGCTGTGACCAAAAGGAAGTTTAATGCAGATAACAAAAAGAACAAAACAAACAAAAAAAAAACCCCACTAAATACTGGATTTGTGTTTCTGTTTTGGACTTTGCAGGCCTCCAGCTGCTTGGTATCCTGCCAAAATTAAGGTAAGCCATTTGTTTGAAGTGCATGTTTGATTCCCTCAGTCTAACAAATTACACTATTAAATTAGTTTAAATTTTAAACAGTTTTAGAGGAATTTGCTAAAACCCAGAAACTGTTCAAAATAAGGAGAGAYTTTTCTGACATTTGGGCTCATTTTAAAAACAGCAACAGTAAATTAAAAGCTTTTCATTCCCTAAAGGATTGTATTTGTTTTTATTGGTTGTAAACGACTGAATGCATTGTTCTCTTCGGGCAGTGTATCACCTGGTGAGTTTCAGCAGAGCTGTATAACAGTACTTAAAAGAAATAACTAARTATAAATAAAAATATATTAGCAGAAAATGACTTTGGTGAAACTTYATGGATTTAAAAGCAAGAAATCATAAAAATTGCTCACAGTAAAATACATTCAAAAGTACTTTTACACACACGCTTAGAAATGAACTGTTGAAACCGAGTCGAAACTGTTTTCTCAGCTCGGTTTAGTAGAACCAGTTGACTAACTTGTTTAGGTAAATTCAACACTTCATTTTTTTTAGTCTAAACAACTCCTTTGGTGATGAGTTTCGGTCATATAAATTTGTACTTAGTAGGTATGTGACAAATTGAAAACATTCCCTAATTGTTTTTAAAAAAAACGCATTTTATTGAATGCAGCTAAAATCCAAAAAGCAAATAATACAAACTTTGTTCAAAATTGGAATAAAAAAAATAAGTAAATTTCGGCACTGACCCAGTCAGATTATGCTGCTTGTGGACTTTAAAAAAAAAAAAACACTCAATGTTTTCTTATGAAAGTTGCTGAGAATGTAGAAAACAGCCTGCAACAAAGACTATACATCCGTGGCATGACTGTTGAATCTAAAAAAAATTGCATCAACKCACGTGTCCCTAATCGAAGATTGTCGCATACCTATAACTATGTGTTACATTTTAAAGTAAAGAAGTAAAAGTATCATTTTTGTGTTTTTAAACATAACTTTTACTTTTTATTTTGTTACAGTTAAAAGAAATACTTGGTAAAATTACAAATCCTCAAAAACTTAAATGTACTTGTATACCTCTGAGTTTCAGTCACTCTTTATAATATCATTTCAGAATCTAAATGTTTTATCCAGTTTTTCTGCTTTGGTTTGAAAAATTTATAAATTTTGGCTCTGTGTCTGCGGACCTCCGTAGTACTGTTATGGTATTATGTACATAATGAAGGACTTGTTTCCTAATTATCAACCATTGATGACCTCTAAATCCTGAGTGTGTGGTCTGATTTTATATTAACTAAACTGTTTTGGAATCAGTGCATAGAGCCTTTAAAGTAAATATTTTATCTGTCTTTATTGAGGATGACTTTTATTTACTACCAAACAAGTTTAGCTCAGTATCTAAAACTGACTGAGTTACAGCCATTTTTGTGTTAAAACTGATTAGCTGCAACTGTCATGTTGAAATGACGATCGATGATTACTTTGAGGCTTTCATTGAAATTCATTCAGTGGTTCAAAAGGTATTTTGCTAAATCAGCTGACAAATGGAGACAATAAGGGCCAATAACATCGCAAAGACCTTTGTATTCAGTAATTTTAATATTTCCTCTACAGAGAGCAGGAGGACGAAGACTTAATGATTCAGTGTGAAGCTTTCGAGGAGGCGATGGCTGAGGACGAGGAGGAGCTGCAGCGACTCTACGGAGGGATTGACATGAGCAGCCACCTGGAGGTTTTTACCGCTCTCTTCCACAAGGTGAGCGCCGACCGCCGGGACGGCTTCGGCTGCTAAGAGTCGAGTGGTTAAAGCAGAGGCTCAAGCAGGGCAGAGATTAATGCAGGAGCTTTATCCAATTAAGTGGAATTTGTGTGCGCAGGTGAGCAGCTCTCCAGCTTCCCTGCAGCTTCTGTCCATCCTGCAGACCATGATGGCGCTCGATCCGGGCCGCACAGACATCTGGCTGGCTCTGGAGGCTGTCACTAACAGAGCCGTACTCCTCGCCCAGGACTGTGAGTCAGACATTCCTTCAGCCAGGGCAAAACCCACGAGAGGCTAAAAGCTCTCTGATGTGAAGGGCAGCTATTAGCCAGGAAAATGGATTCAAGTGGGCGATTAGAGCGAGGCTGGGAGGATCTGGGGTGAAAGCTTTGTTGTGGGGGGGGGCTTATTTGAAATGTTGTTTATGGTTGTCGTGTGGATCTGTGCTGCAGCTCAGATGGAGTCCTGTGAGAAGATCCTGCAGCGGCTGATGTTGTACAAACGGAGGAGCAGCAGCATCGCGGGTCGTTACGAGGTGGACGGGCTCGTGAAGGTGGACAAGGCCGTGCAGACGGATCTGGACCGACGGGTTGAGGACAGGCCAGACGTGAGCGCGGCGTCTGCCATGAAGTTGCTGTGTGCCCCACCGCCCCCTCCCCCTCCACCGTTACCTGGAGGGCTTGGCAGTCCCCCGCCACCTCCCCCTCCTCCCTTACCCGGAGGGTTTGGCAGTCCCCCTCCACCACCGCCTCTAATGCCTGGAATGACTGCCCCACCCCCTCCGCCGCTGCCAGGGATGGGGGGTGCACCACCCCCTCCACCCTTACCTGGGATGCCTCCTCCTCCCCCCGGCATGATAGGGGCTCAGAGTAGCCAGGCGCTGGGCTCCAGCACGCCAGCGAAGCCGAGCAGATGTCCCACTCTGAAGATGAAAAAGCTCAACTGGCAGAAACTCCTTCATGGTTCAGGCGCAGGACGAACGCATTCTTGTAAATATCAGTTATTTTTTCCCAAAAGCCTCCTGTTTTCCTTTTTTAAACTATTTTTCTTTACAAACAAGGTCAGACCTGCATTTTAGGCTTAATCTAAAAGCACATTTGCTGAAAAGGATCCATGATTAGTTGTAACGTTAGACTTCATTTGATAAACATGTATTTTAACTCTAAAATAAAGACTGTAAAAATAATGTAGGCTGTTCAGTTTTGTAAAATTTTTTAAAATATTTTAACACAGACAGCCATTTTATTTCCACACAAAGCATTCTGGGTAAATGATGACGTGGATAGGTCCTCGGTGTGAGCGAGCTATATCCACCCTGAAGGTTAATCTTGGACAATATCTGATGATCGACTCTTTTAAATGAAACCAGAGAGCGTTGACAGAGAGGAGAAGGTAGAAATGACTCAGCCTGGAACTGAAAATGTGGATGGAGGCCAACAGAGCTGCTTCATGGAAGAWGAACCTCAGCTTAGCCTGTTGTGCTAGCACCGACGCTATATCACCTTATATGTATTAGCTCGGTGCTAGCGCGACAAACAAGCTAAACTGAGGTCCTCCATCCATATTTTCAGTTGCAGACTGAGTCATTTTTGTGTTCCCYTCTCTGTCATGTGGATGGAGGACCTCAGTGACGAGAGGAGAATGTGTAGCACTGAGCTAATACATATACAGTATATGGTGATAGCATTGGGGCTAATGCTAAAGCTAACAGGCTAAGCTGAGGTTCTTCTTCCATGAAGCAGCTCTGTTGTCCTCCATCCATATTTTCAGTTACAGGCTGAGTCATTTCTACCTTCTCCTCTCTGTCAATGCTCTCTGGTTTCATTTAAAAGAGTCGATCATCAGATATTGTCCAAGATTAACCTTCAGGGTGGATATAGCTCGCTTACAGATGACCTATCCACGTCATCATTTACCCAGAATGCTTTGTGTGTAAATAAAATGGCCCCGTCCATGTAATATATTTTTAAACTTTTAGTTTAAAATTTGTAAAAACTAAACAGCCTACAGTATTTGTACAGTCTTTATTTTACAGTTAAAACACATGTTTTATTAAATAGTCTAATTTTACAACTAATCATGGATCCCTTTAAACAAACACAGACTTTGTTTTTTCTGACATTTSATTTTGGCAGAAAGACAACCATGACACACAAGATCTGCGTTCCAACTTTTGTTTTCAAAAATAGACATGAAAGTTTGTTGCGTAATTTAGGGACAGAATACCAAAAATTAAGCTGAGCAATATTCTAGAAAGCAAGTCACATTTAAGCAGGTGATCCTTTTATTTAAAATGTCATATTCTGCTTGACAGAATCAACAAATCTGCAGCCAAAAAGTCCCCAAAAATTTTCAGTCTGTTTTGTCATGCTGTTTTTAGGTTTTTCCCTTCAGCCTCTTTCAGTTTAGTTTTTGGGTGGGGTTCCTCCTTGGCATCCAAAAAAAAACAGTTCCCTGTTTAGACCTTGAGACAGACTCAGCCAGAGGAAAACTTCTCACAACTCCTCCTTAGTCTTTGGGTTAAACAAATTACCTGTGAGCTATTTATAATTGTAATTTTTCACTGTTTAACGTTTGACACAAAATGTGATTATAAAGATACTGATTCCCCCCACTAATCTTGAAGTGAAAACCTGAAAATAAAAGCTAAAATGCTAACTTTCTGTTTCAGTAATGATTCTGGAGGCTGTGTGACATTTTTTGGTCAATTTTCCCTTTTTTATGTATAAAAAATATATAGAATTGAGTTTGGATACTAGATGTATTTCTGTGCAGCAAATGGATAAAAATGATTTAAGATTAATGCACACAGCATGTCTCAACCATAACTTCTTAACAGTGGGTGTTTGTAATTTACAGTAAATTCCAGCGTCTCGTTCTGATGCTGCACAGTTCTGATACAAAATGAACTTCCACACGCTCATACCAGGTTGTGATTTAAATTTTTTTTTACTCCTCTCCATCCGTGACTACAGATGGCCAGACCATGTGGGCCTCGGTTCAGGAAGAAACGCCTGCTCACGAGCCGGACTACAGCAGCATCGAGCTGCTGTTCTCCATCCCGGTGGTCGAACCCAAAGACAAGGGAGGCGCCACTCCTGCAAAAGAGCCTAAAGAGGTGCGACTCAGAACAAACCCATCTGACCAGCAAAGCTCAACATTCCGTCTCCGTTCTTATTTTTCTCTTTTTGTTTTGTAGATAACGTTCATTGATCCCAAAAAGAATTTAAATATGAACATATTTCTGAAGCAGTTCAAATGGTGAGTCATTTCAAATAACATGTTGGTCTATTTTTTATTTTTATTTTTTAAACACAAGTAGTTTTTTTTATCACTATGTTCAGCACAAATGAAGAATTTGTGGCCATGATCCAGAAAGGAGATCGCAGCAAGTTTGATGTAGAGGCGCTAAAACAACTTATTAAGCTCCTACCAGAGAAACATGAGGTTCTTGCAACACTTTTCCTGTTTGTTTTGATGCTTTTTGCACACTTCTAACTCATTACCATAAAAATTTTATTGCTTTTAGATCGAAAACTTGAAGTCTTTCCAAGGAGAAAAAGACAAGTTAGCAAACGTTGATCGTTTCTACACCTCCCTCATGACTATTCCATGGTAACTTTCAGATTTTCTGCTGCATGTTTCATTGATTTAGTCCAGTTTGGTTGTTTACTCTTTCTTGGCTCCTCCTCTTTAGTTATAAGCTGAGGATTGAATGCATGCTGTTGTGTGAGGAGACGACATCGATGTTGGAGATGCTAAGACCCAAAGTGAAGCTGGTGGAGGAGGCCTGCCAGTGTAAGGAAACCTGTGCATCTAAGCATGCCTTTTTTATTTTTTGCATGCTTGAATTAACTTTTTTTTATGTAAAATAATATTCCTCAGCTCTTAGAACAAGTCTACTGTTGCCAAGTTTCTGCAGACTCATCCTCAACGTTGGAAATTTTCTCAATTATGTAAGAACCTCTCCGCGTCGTTTCTGCTTTTAATTATGCTGCGGCGTAAAATTTTTAATAGTCGATCTTGTTTTCCAGGGAAGTCACACGGGGAACGCTGAGGGCTTCAAGATCAGCTCTCTGCTGAAGCTAACGGAGACGAAGGCCAACAAGAGCCGCATCACGCTGCTCCATCACATCCTGGAGGTATAGAAACTGCCTAACGGCTGCACTAACTTCACTATTTTTCAGCCATGAATCTGGTTTAATTACCTAAGCTGTGYTTTTATTTTGCAAAAAGGAAGCAGAAGCAAACCACCCGGAGCTGTTGGCTCTGCCGGATGAGATCCAGATATGTGAAAAAGCAGCAGGGTACAGACTTTTTTTTTCTTTTCTATCTGCTTATTTGTTTATTTAAATTGGTTCTGAGTAGATTTATAAAATGTCTAACAAGACCTTCTTATTTTATTTGCAATCCTCAGAGTCAGTCTGGACTCTATTCAATCAGAAACCGGCTCTTTGCTCAAACAGCTGAATGAGGCCATTAAGAAAGTGTCCATCTCTGAGAGCGAGGTGAAAGAGCAATATGCAGAAGTTCTCGAGGTAAGAGGTCAAACTTTGTCTTTTTCTCACTTAAAAATAAAAGCAAAAGTTATTTTTTGCAGCTGGGTCACTTCCTGAGTACTTGATCTGTTCCACAGGAAAATCAAAAATCGTGTCAAGCTTTAACAAAGAGATTTGCTGAGATCGAGAAGAAGAGGTGCGACCTGGCTGTCTACTTGTGGGAAGACGTGAATCAGCTGTCGCTCGAGGAGCTCCTCGGAACCGTCAGGACTTTCCGGGAGCTCTTCATGAAGGCGCTGAAGGTTAGGGAGGACGATTTGTTGACGTTCGTCAGGTTGGGGCTGCTAATCTGTGCGTGAATGCGCTGAACAGTGGCGGCTGTGTGGGAGGTGTTTTTGTTTGGAGTGTGTGTGTCAATAGGCTGATTACAGAGGGATGTTTCCACTCAACCATTTGAGGCAATTTGTCTTCGTTTCATTTAATACTGTGGCAGTGACGTTGTTTCTTTCATGATAAAAGGAAAACAAAATGAGGAAAGAACAAGCAGCCAAGGCTGAGAAGAGGAAGAAGCAGCTGGCAGAGGAAGAGGCTAAACGACAGAAAGGAGAGAATGGAAAAATAGGTGAGTTCAAAAGCAGTTTGCACGAACCAAAACTCAATGATGCGTGTTGTTGAAGGCTCTCTTCTGATTTTTATTTTATTTTTTCAGTCAAGAAAAACATTATGCCCCAAAACGATGGCTGCATCATCGATCACCTGCTGGCAGATATCAGGAAAGGTTTCAGCCTGAGAAAGACCCGGCCAAGGTGCGATTCGGAAAGCCTCCCCTCTAGTGAAATGCGTAGCGATACCTGCCCACCTGGTAAGGACAACAGATGGTGGTCTCCATCTGCAGTTCCTAGCTCCGTCCGTGATCCAAAGTGCAAGCCACACACCTGCCCTGTAGGATTGTTTGTGCTTCCTCGCCATCACGCTTTGTTGCTGCTGCTTAAGCTTTTTTAAATTTATTTTTTTACTTGGCAAGCTGTGATGTCGTTGCTCTCTGTAGATCATTTTATTCATTATGGTTTCTATAAATGCATATATACCTCAGCTGGTGCGTTTTTACATCTCTTCTCCAGAAAATGCGAAGCCTGTGGACGAAGGAAACGCCGGAGYGGCCACCACTTCCGCTCCCTGCAAACCACCGAGCGAGGATCACCAGCCTCCTGCAGACAAAGTGAACGGCTTCATCAGTCCGGCAGAAGAGACTGTGCYGGCTCCTCAGCTCAGTGCAGGACAAAGTGGGACGGCTGCGACCACCAACACCCCCGCAGACGAGCCAGCCTCCACGACGCAGACGCTCCCGGCCCCTCCTGCGCCGCTGCAGGATGGTCCTCGCCCAGGAGCGCCTGCAGCACCAAGACTCGATGAGACGCCGCCTCAACCTCCCCCGTCTCTGTCCACCAACAGCTTCTCTTTAGACTCCGCGGACACGAGTGTCCTCAGTCCGTCCTCGCTGTCGGACTCGGACCGGGGGGAGGACGTGGTGGACGGCTCGTCCGAGAAGGCGACGCCCGACGAATCCGAAAACCTTAACGCGACTTCACCCGATACAGACAATAACGTGAAACACGGCAGCGTAACGGAAGACGAAGAACCGAGCCTCGAGGAGAGCTTTTTATCGGAGGCTGTGGGACAAAAAACCAAAGAGGACAAGCTTGTGATTGTGAGAACGCACTGTGGAGTGTTGAGCGACAAGCATTCAGAGGCTAAAGTTGGTGCGGTTCAGTTCGATGAGGGCATCGTGATGTGCGACGTCCAGGATGAGCCGGAAGATTTGCCCTCAGCCTCCGAAGCCMCGTCTCCATCTCCTAAAGCCGAACCAAAGAAGCAGCCGAACTTGTTTAAACGCAGCAAAAAGAAGAGTAATCCAGGTAATTTTAATACTCACTCAAATAAAGATTGTTCTTGGAATGCTAGCCTCTTTCTGTGTTTTAAAGGGAAACCACTGTTTGCTCTGATTTTATTGCAACTAATATTTTGTATGATGTATTGTCTGTTTTAGATTTTTATGAATGTTTCTGCATGAATACATGCATTTTAATGGAGCTTCAAATGCAGTGTGCAGCCATTGATTTGTAGATGTGTGATGCTAAAGATGGATTTAACTCTTTGGTCAGTCTGTTTTTGAATATTCTTGTTTCTGATTCTCTGAAACAAGGTAACAGTGGGAAAGGACATGCTAAACATAAAACAGGCTGTGTGTTGCAGTGAGGTAGGTGGGGGGGAAATATCGTGACGAACTCAAATCATCGTCCGAGCTCTGTGCCAATAACACATCATCTGTCGGTCTAACTGGAATCTGGACTTCATTTGTCTGTGTTGTCTGACTCTTTAATGCTTGCTCTCTTAACTTTCTCCAAAATTCAGTGATTTATCATTGAGACTTTTTACATTTGTGATGCTAATAATCAATTCTGATGCAAAAAAAAAAAAAGCAGCAACCTTCGTGCAAAACCTCTCCAGTTCTAATCTCAGTTTGTGAAGTCATTGTGGACTGAACTGTGCCATGAAAGCTGTCACTTTTGTGTCCTCTGTCCATATTTACTTGTCTGCGACCGGGACTGTCTTYGTTTTAATCATCCAACAGTCTCACGTGTGCTTCCTGTAAACTTTTGCTTGTGACTCAACGAATGCTGATGCAAACTGCACTGAAATGTTTTATAAAAAGGAAGGGAAAACAACGTAATTTATTTAAAAGTTTAAATCTTTTAATCTGTCGATCTGTTTTTAAATAAAGTCTCCTATAAAATATTCTTGATTCTGCTCATTCATTTCAACATTTTTGTATTTTCTTTCTTTTTTTTTAGGTGACTCCAGGAAAAAGAAAGCAAGAGGAAAAAGAAAATGTTGACAATTTTTGTGTTTGGGATTTTAAAACTGGAAGGACTGTTTTTAAAATAAAAAAACCTGACAATGAAATGTTACAAAAGCGTGAACTCCCCCAGACTTGGAGATCTCAGCGAATGGATGTCAACTTGTCACTTTATGTAAATTTTGTTTGTGTATAAAATGTTCTAAAAAGGAGAAAAAAAATGTATTTATATATTTCTATGTTTGTATCATTGTAATAAGTGAGATGTGTTCTGGTTAACTAGCAGCACCTTTAAGGGGAGAAAAAGGTTGCAAAATATTTAACTGATCAAAAACAAACCTGCTTGTGTCTTAATTTCTTTCTATATTCTAATCATCTACAAAATGACATATTGGGCTGTAACTTTTAATGTTTTATTAAATTTCACTGTACTGTTTTCAAGGGTTTTTTAACCCTTTTTATTGCAGGGTGCATACAAAATGTCAGAATAATAAACAATGCCATGACTCATGGATTTACCTCCATGGTTCCAAGTATGAAGACTTGTCCTTTTGTTATCTTACATTTTCATTAAAGTTATCAATGAGTTTTGTTTAATGATTTTAATTGTTTATTTTAACTATTCCTTATCCAGAATGGAATGAATAAATGAAATAGAACTTTAGGGATTTTTTAGGAGCAAATACTTGCACTATTCTTTTGTTACAGATTTTAAATCACGTCTCAAACTAAAGACCCACGGGCCAAATCTGGCCCTCATTGACATTTATCCGGCCCAAAAGGCAATACTTTAAATGTGATAAARTTTAATGTTTTCTCTTTTTGTTGCTGTTTTTAGTGCATTCTTCTCAGCTGGCCAAGTTTCAGGACAGGAAAAATAAGCTTAAATTTTTTAGTCATCCTTGATTTTGATGCAGAAAAAGCAGAAAATTGACTTTAGTTATCTTTTTCTGTACGGTGCCTCAGTTGGTAGAGTTGTTGCCTGTCAGCAAGAAGGTTGCTGGGATGAATCCCAGCCGAGGACCTTACTGGKTAGAGTTTGTATGTTCTCTCCATGCATGCGTGGGTTTTCTCTGGGTACWCTGGTTTCCCTCCCACAGACCAAAAACATGACTGTTGGGATAATTGGTAACTAAATTGTCTCTAGGTAAGAGTGGGAGAGTGAATAGTTGTTTTTGTCTATGTGATCCTGTGATGGACCTGTCCAGGGTACCACCCGTGCACTGGGACTGCTGGTGGTGGGTACCAGTGACCCTGAAGCAGGTAAAGAGGATGGATGGATGGATAGCTTGTTTAACTGATTTGTTGGGTTGGGATAAATGAAAAAGTTGTTGATAGTAAGGTATAAGAAATGAATGCTAAAGATGTCGATCGAAATTTAATATTTGTCTTTATTTATTTGGTTATGTATTTTCTAAATGCTACATATGGAAAGGGTATTTCTGTAAAATGAAGGGTTAAGACTAACCCATTTAAATAAATAATGACAGAAAGTGGCCATTGGTATTACCTTTAACCAAATTTTGAATTTTTGACTACCCTGGCTCAAATATGCAGTATAAATGTAAGTAATGCTGACATTTCAGGGGTTCCATAAAGATCTTGACCCAAATTAAGACTTATTTGGTCCCAGATTGGTTGTAGAGTTTTAGTAAAATGTGTTATTATTGCAAGGTGGATTCAAAAAGTATCATAATAAAATAAGCCATATAATGGACCTCCCTGTGTGAAGGCTGCTGTCTCTGATCCTGCAGCTTTGTGGGGGATCACTTGCAAAGACCACGTCCCTCTGTGCGTCACCAGCTCAGAAGTTACACATATGGCAATATCCCCTCCCTCTCTCCCTTCACTGTATCTTGAAGACAGCAGTTGAGTCTCCTTGAGACGGGAAGACTAAAAGCAACCCCGCCGTCATGTCGCTCAGCTGGTCGTCCAAAGACCACAAAAGCACCAATCAAGCCGCTGGACAGAAGCGGACGCGCAGCGACGCGGGGAATAAGGTGACCGTGGTGCTCGGAGCGCAGTGGGGAGACGAGGGGAAGGGGAAGGTCGTCGACTTGTTGGCAACTGAGGCTGATATTGTCTGCAGGTGTCAGGTATGTTTGGATTCATCATTTCACTCGAGTCGTGCGTCTTTTTTCTCTCTCAAGACTGATCAATGGATTTGTTGGATGTCTGGAAACGTGTTCAAACTGGAAGTTGTGTTATTTAAGAATATTAAAGTTGTACTAAGAATATAAGTCAGTACTTTAGTGTCAATCACTCATGGATAGTGGCAACTAAGCCAAATGTCAGCAGTGGTTAGCTTGAATGTCAGATGTTGTGCGTAAAGTTGCTCTGATTCGCTCAGCCAATCAGACTGATCCATGAAAAGAAGACAAGTGGCACGCATTCTATTTCATCATGAATAAATAATAATAATAAAAAAACCTAGACAGGTCCGTTTGTCCGCGTACACATGACATGCAACACTCCAAAGGTCACTCGTGCGTCAGGACGCGCACTGAAAACCTGTCAACAGTTGRGCTGTTGCGCTCTTTCCACTGGCAGGACTAGTACCCTGTGTTCTGAAGGCTTTCACAACCCCACCCGCCGGGTTGTGGAGGTCACATTCTCAGGCTGGCTTGATATGTGAGAAGGCCAGTCCAGCCTGGTGAGGTGGGGTTTAAAAGTGAGGGTCCACCAGCAGCAGCCAAGTCTGTTAAATTGGGTGCTGGAAGCTCCTGGCAGAAGAAAATGCCTCATCACTGTCTGATGAAAACGAAATGAGATATAATATTCCTTTTTTTTTTCTTTACAGGGAGGCAACAATGCAGGGCACACAGTGGTAGTGGATGGCAAGGAGTATGATTTCCACCTCCTTCCCAGTGGAATCATCAACACTAAAAGCACATCACTCATCGGTAAAAAGCTTCAAAACTTTAGTTTTATAGAGTCTGCTTCAGGCAGCATTTATCTCCATACTCTGAACCTTTCCTTTGCCGTTTCAGGTAATGGAGTGGTCATACATCTACCTGGATTGTTTGAAGAGGGAGATAAAAATGATAAGAAAGGTATATTTTTTAATGAAAGTATGATGTGAAAGAGATGTGAGTGTGCATTTTACACACATTTTGTTTGGTGACGATTCAGGTCTGAAAGGATGGGAGAAGAGGCTGATTGTTTCAGACAGAGCTCATCTTGGTATGTTGAAAAACTCCCTTTAATTCAAACATATACACCTTTATGAATTTGTTTTGAATAAAAACATCTGTGTCCTCCACAGTCTTTGATTTTCATCAAGTCGTCGATGGCTTACAAGAGACTGAGAGACAAGCACAAGAAGGGAAAAAGTAAGATGTTCCAATCGATAAGCTTAAAACAGACRTTAAAATCAGTTCAACTCTATTGATTTGCTGAATTTTTAACATGACAGCATTGGAACAACAAAGAAGGGCATTGGACCTGCGTACTCCAGCAAAGCATCTCGGATCGGCCTGCGTGTTTGTGACCTCCTGGGAGACTTTAATGACTTTTCAACCAGGTAGCAATAATGAAAAGTAAAGTGAAAGACTTTTTACTCCTTCAAAATAAGTCAAAACTGATTTTTGTTTTTTAAAATTCCTTTCAGGTTTAAGAACCTCGTTCATCATTATCAGTCCATGTATCCGTCTTTGACAGTTGACGCTGATGACCAGCTCAAAAAACTAAAGGTAGGTGTTGATTTTGTTGTTTTCATTGATTTTTTTAAGGGCAAAATGTTAATTATCATGCAGTCCAACATGATTTAGCCACAATACAAACATCAGTTTTCATCCCCAGTTTCAACATATGTGTTGACAAATGAAAAGGTCGTCATGTTTTGTAGGACTATGCAGAGAGATTGCGCCCCATGGTAAGAGACGGTGTCTATTACATGTATGAAGCTCTTCATGGACCTCTGARGAAGATTCTCGTTGAAGGGGCCAATGCTGCTCTGCTTGACATTGACTTTGGTAATGCTGTATTTTTTTTAACAATCATTGTGTTGTTTGACTCTGTGCTGGTTTATTCATTAAATCCTCCCCATTATTAGGTACGTATCCTTTTGTGACATCATCAAACTGTACCGTGGGAGGTGTGTGCACCGGTCTCGGGATCCCCCCGCTCAATATCGGMGAGGTGTTTGGTGTAGCCAAGGCCTACACCACCAGAGTGGGAATCGGAGCCTTCCCCACAGAACAACTCAACGTAAGACCTGAATGTCACAGTAAACTAGAGAATTTGCATTTCCTGCGAAAATCCGGTGTGACTGCTTTAATGCTGAAAGATTTTCTGTTGAACAAGTTGAAATCTTTAATAGCAAAAATGTTAATGACAGTTAACTTTGAACAGCCGACCTTTTCTGAAAGCCTGGTCGTGCCCCCTTAGCATGCTCAAAAACTCACCGTTTTGGTAACTTTTAATGYCTCATGTCTTAACAGCATACAGACCGAGTTAGAAGCCGATAGGTCAAAATCCCTAGGAGGAGTTYGCAAAAGTTCGACRTGAGCGAAACTGAAATCGGCCAAAATTTGACCTTTGACCCAAAATGGCTGACTTCCTGTTGGTTTTAGGGCATACCTCCAAGAGACCTTTCTTCTTGATTTGGGGAGATCTACCTATGTGCAAAATTTCAACACTCTAGGACTTACCAGTTCCTCTATCTCACATTAGGTGGCGCTGTCATTGGCAGAAAAACTGGAAAAGGAGTACAAAAAGGTTGCACTTTGTTGTAACATTAAAGCAGCCAAAATCACGCAGAAAGAGCACATGTGCTGAATTAAGCACTAAGAAGCTGAAATTATCACAAAATAGTGAATATAGATGAAAAAAGCTAAAAATAGCTGAAAATAGCTACAAGGGCAGAAACAGCTTAAATAAATAGAAATTAGCTAAAAGAAGCATTAAAAGCTTAAAAAAGCCAACGGAAGCAAAAAAAAAAAGGTTTAAACTAACAGAATAATAGTTGAAAGGAGCTGAAAAAGCAGGAAAAAAGCTAAAATTAGAAGAGAGGTTAAAGGAATCTGAAATTAGAACAAAAAAGTTAAAAACAAAAAACGAACAACAACAACAACAACAGCACAAAAGGTAAACAGTGCAGTAAAGATTTTTTAAAAATTTWAAAGTTTTCAAGGTTGTTGCAGATTMCTCCATTTATTTTCAATGAGAAAAAAATCCCCCCCAAAAATCTGAATAGCTGAAAAAGCACAAGTTGCTGAAATACCTAAAGTCATAGCACCCATGGTACAAATGAGCTGAAAGTTTTGATTAATGAAATGTTGAAATAGCAAAGACATTGTGGAAAGAGTATCTATGACAAAGAAGATTTATCTCAGTAGTATTAATGCTTAATAACATTCACACAATTATTAGCATAAATATTAGTTTTTGACTTACAGGCTAAAGAAAAAAGGAGGAAGGAAGTGTTGTGTACTGTATGTTCAGCTTGACCTGTTGTGATTGTGCGACTGCAGGGTGACTACAGGGTGTGTTCCTGCTCAAAACAGCTGTCCGATTTTGTGAGAGACCTGGGCTTTAGCTCTTTACACGGTCATGTGTTGCACAGATAAATTTAGGGCCAGATTCTGGGTTRAGGATATATTCACTGTAAGAGTTGGGGTTATGTTTCCTGTGGATGTAACTGACCATATAAAGGTCAAGATGGCAAAACTTCCCTCTCAAGCTCTGACACATTATAATATCCTGTTTATTCTGCTCATTGTTGTGGTTTAAAGTGACATCCATGAAGTAACAGGAAGAATGTTTTTTTTTCACAGGCTGTTGGAGAATTACTGCAAACAAGGGGTCACGAGGTTGGTGTAACCACAGGAAGGAAGCGGCGCTGCGGCTGGTTGGATCTTGTCATCGTCCGATATGCTCACATGATCAATGGTTTTACAGCGTGAGTGGCGTGTGGAGGTGTTGTGCAGGTGKTGTGTATCCATTGTTGCGCATTCATCTTGAAATCAGCTGAAACTGTTGCTGTCGTCACGTGTCCCCCCACAGCATTGCTTTGACAAAACTTGACATTCTGGATGTGCTGGATGAAATTAAAGTTGGAGTTGCCTACAAACTCAACGGGAAGAGAATTCCTCATTTCCCAGGTAAGTTTTAAAAAAAGACAAATTACGTTCGCTTAGAACAGATGTTTTTTTTTTCCTAATAGGAGCTCAAATATTGGTAATGTGTGTGTTTTCATTGCAGCCAACATGGATATTTTGCACAAAGTGGAAGTTGAGTATGAGACTTTCCCCGGATGGAAGACAGACACGTCTGCAGCCAGGAAGTGGAACGATCTCCCAGTCAAGGCACAGAACTACATCCGCTTCATTGAAAACCACATTGGAGTCCCCAGTATGTTTAAGACAAGAAAGACAAATCATATTTCCTCTGCAGGTCATAGAAAGTACTGTAGCACGACAAGATTGTCATGTTGTCCATTAGGTGGCACTATTCAACTGTCATATACAGCTTTGTCTACAATTTCAACRTTTTGTTTTCTTCTATCTCTCTCTTTCTCTTTCTAGTTAAGTGGGTTGGTGTTGGAAAGTCCAGAGAGTCCATGATCCAGATGTTCTGAACCAAAATACCACTTGATGAAGAAAAATGTGATATAAGGAGGGCATTTTTCCATCACAAACACTGTGTTCTTTTCAAATGTTAAAGAAATATATACGTATCTATATAATCACTGAGCTGTGGTGATTGTGTGTCTTTTGGGCAGTGTCCAAAATAAAAAAAAAGTTGAGACCTGCTGCAAGAAAAATAAACAAATAAACTCAGCTTTTGATTTCTACAGCACCTTACAGAAAATATTACATTTCAAAGTGCTTTGCTAGAAAAAAAATCTAAACTTAGAATGCTACACAAAATGTTAGATGACTGAGAATATACATGAAATAAAGCTAACCTATCAAAAGAACAACATAATTTGTAAAGTTTTATTTCAAAAAGTAGTAAAATCCTTATTTTTTTTCAAAAATAATATAATTCTTTGTTTTCTGTTTTTGCTTTACGTTTTAAAACTAGATCTGTAAATAAATCATTTACTTTAAATGTGTTGATCATTACCCACTTTGCCATCTAAAATAGCTTCTTACAGATTTTTGTCTTCGTGGGGTGTGTGAGTGCGTTTAATCAAATGTAACCGAAGGTCCTTGAATGCGTCTTAAGATTTAGGATTTGTCACGTGACAACCAAGTTATTCCTGATTGGCCTTTACAGTCACGTGACAATCAAACCTGTTTGTGATTGGCTACTTTTCATCCTCCCTTTATTTTTTCCCGCAACGTATTGAAGTTCGTCGGAAGCACGGGTTAGCACTTTTAGCAGCTAAAATGCCCAAACGAACTTGTCCTTTTCCAGAAACGTTTTCATCCCAATACAAAATGCACATTGGACAACACGAGCTGAATACTTACGGCGTATTCGGGAATAAATACAGACAAGAAATATACGGTAAGTGAATGACTGTTGACCACCATGTTTCGCGTTTTGTGTTAGCTTCGTTTAGCAGTTGTTATTGACCAAATATATCTCTTAAAACCTTGTTTTAGTATGTTTATGTTGTTTATAAAAACTTTTTTTCCATCTGTTCAAGCTGTGGTTTATATGAGTAAATATGGTAATATTGAAGCTGAACACAGTTCCATGTGTTTTATTTTGAAATTTCTAAAATAAAGCATGTTATCCATTAGGTGAGTGCTCTGGGCGGGGAGAGGTCAGCTGACATGTAATTTCACACATCACTGGCTTATTTTTCTTCTCAGATAAGACAAAGAACTTGCTTTTCAACGGTGCCAAAGCTGTAATGGACAAACTATGGACAGGAGAGGAGAAGCTCGCAGAGTCGCAGCCCAGTGGACAGCCGTCTGCGTGCAGTCAGACCCTCCTGAGAGGACAGACACTTATTGGACATGATGGGAGACTCACAAGAACCACTGCTGCACAAGGTCTGTCTGCAGGGATAAATGTTTGAATTATAAATATACTGCAAGGAAAAGTACAGTATAAATATCAACTCTGTTGTCACCTGTACCTCTGTTTTTTTCAGCAATTTGTCATAAAACATTTACCAAATCTAAATTAAATCTTACTAAAAGTGCTTGACCAAAATTAAAGTATAACTCTCATATTGTGTATTTACATTTAAACTTAGATTATGCTGTATATAGTACGTGGCTTCGGTAAGCATGTCTACATTTTGTTAGTTTTTTTTTCTGTATATTTCAAGTGTAATCTTTTGTGAATCACCTATGGCAATGACAAAAACATTGTCAAAATTCACTTTTGAATTCAGACATGTGACTTTAGTTACCGCCACTGATAATGTTGATCACTGCGGTAGTTATGTAAGCTGTATTTATGTTTTAATAATAGTTTGATGATGAAAGCACAGCTAGGAGGAAGAAGGAGAAGTTTGTCAGGATTGTAAAATGCTTTATTTTAAAGTAGATTTTTTTTGTTGGATTGTTAAAGGAAGTGCTCTAGTTATCCATTTATGCAAATACTTAATTTTATTTTAGTGGAGGAATGCTACAGTACTCGCAGAACTACATTAACAGCTTATTTACGTTCATCAATCGTACACGTACATATGAAAATTCAGAAAATTTAAAATCAATAGAACAAAATACATCAGAACCAACTGTGACTCCTGGGGTCTCATTTATAAAGGTTTGCGTGGAAACCATACTAAAAGTGAACGTACGGCCAAAAGGCGGAAATGGCGTACGCCAAAAAATAATTCAGATTTATAAAATGGTGCGTACGCACGTTTCTGCGCATCTTTCCTTTATAAATCACAGCTGCACGTCAAGAGTTTGCGCACGAGGTCCCGCCTCAGGTTCTGCCC